AGCTGAACCGGATCGAGCTGGACTCTGTGAAGAAGCAGCTGGAGGATCGCTGGAGGAGCATCCACGAGAAGCTGCAGGCTCAGGCGGCGCCGGAGTACGAGGACGCCGCCGGGATCAGGAAGTGAGAACACTGCACCCTTACACGCAGCACAGCTCACGATCACGGGTGCTTCCAGGAGATCCAATCAGGAGAAAGAGGGCTTTTAGGGAGGGGCTAACAGAGATAGGATGAAGTGAAGGATTATTTTGACCTGTCAGTCAGGCACAGCTGCTCTGACAGACGATATGTGTCCCTAACATTATTATTGTTGACATTATTGGCTTTGATCTGAATGTAATTTGTTGCTAAATGTTCCATAATTAGCGTCTGACTGAAACATCTGCAGACATGTTTGTTCAGATTTGGTCTGAATCAGACACGTGAGGTAACAAAGAAGGAGGAGCATTTTTCTGAACATTTTGAATATATGCAGCAGGTGAAGGGCTGAGAAGCACTGAAGATTTGTCCTTGTGTTTATTTGCAGACAGCTCGTGGAGAGATTTCACTGCCTCTCCTGCGACCGGCCCATCGTGAAGCACACGCCCGGACCGTGAGTGAACGCCACACAGAGCACGTGACCCAAACCTCTGAGCTGCTGTCTGAACTCCTCCCCTCTCCTACATTTCTACCTTTTCTTTGAGGGTTAAAGGCATCTGGTGACGCTGCCCTCGTTTCCTGCGTTCCCCTCGCACAAGTCCATCAGGCCGTTCACCGTTTACACCATGGAGCAGTTACGCCAGCACTACCGAAGGTGAGTGACCTGCACACACATGGCGAGGCTCCTCGGTGTCTTCTGTTCTGATGAGCCCCTGTCACCGCCTCAGCCAGCAGCCAGGCACCAACCGCTGCAGGTACGAGGCAGCTAACGCGTGCAGGAGCAGGGAGCGGCTTCAGAGGAGCCACGTCGCCGCGTGCAGGCAGATAGAGAGCGTAGAGATGCAGGGACGGCCGCAGCACGGCGATGCCACGAACACAGCGCAAGGCCAGCAGTGAGTCAGGGCAGGGGTGGAGCTTAAAGTCTGCGGTTGCTACAGGGTTAACGTGGAAAGAGCAAGACTGTGATTTCACGCGTTCACTCGATCACTGAGTTTGAACGTCAGTGCTGCCGTTACCGTCCTGCAGCGTTGGATATGGATAACGATGGAAAAATGTCACGTACACGATGATGATGTCATTAGAGGTCAGTGAGCAGCATTTCTGTGTTGATCACCGCTCCATTTCTCTGTCCTCACGCCCCGGGCAGCGAGCGCATATCTGAGCTGACGGATTATGGTCACCTGGCTGCGGCGCGGAGCTGCGGCGGGAGTCACCACACCAACGCTGCGGGCAGCCAGCGCCGCGGCGGCCCGCAGCACACAAAACTCCACGGTGAGGCGGACGGTGCGATTCAGGTACGTCTGAGGAAATGAGCCTGAAACTG